TGGATATTTTGTGGGTCAGAAGATAAAAAGTTTGGGAACCACTGCTTTATACAACACTGAACTGGACTCATAACAGGCAAACATCTCATGCTCTGAAATATTTGTGACTAAATTCTTAACATTATTCCTGATTGCATGTCTGTTAGCAAAATATCCTTTGAACCAGTGGGCAAATATGAATTAATCTCTCAAAACCAATCTCTGACTGAGTTTATGTGTGTGTTTAGTGTAAACACTCTGTTAGTAACTGACAGTCAGGCATCCTGGGGTCAGGTTGATGAAGCAGCAGAACAACACCTGTCCTGAGTGATCTGACTGCATCTGGATAGCTTTAAACACAAACATGAATAACTTCATCCATTGGAAACCTCTTCACTCAGARTCATGTCTAAATACCAGTTCTGATTGTTTTTAAAAACAGTGGTGGCCACGCACCTCGCTGTCATGACCCCTGCTCCACAGCTAGAGGTCACTGTGTTGCATTAAGATGAATTCATTGTCTCAGGTCCAGCTTGAATCAGACCATTGATTGTTTCATTCTTCTTCCCACTGCTGAGCCCCCACTCTCTGTTTGTCCTGCAGCAAGCTCTCATGATGACAATTGTCAACTTGGCCCAGAACTTTGTGGGCAGCAACAACGTAAACATCCTGCAGCCCCTGGGACAGTTTGGTACTCGCATCAATGGAGGCAAAGATGCTGCCAGTCCTCGTTACATCTTCACCATGCTGAGGTAATAAAAGATTCTCAACGCTCATAMATGTGACCTATAACCCTGATGACTGAGTTATAGTCAGTTCTTTTAAACAAAGACACCAGAAGCAGTCTAAGTCTATAGCAGCAGAACTAAGGAATAACTCAGGAAACCTAAGTCTAACCATAGGATTTATCAAAAAGGAAAGTCTTCAGTCTAATCTTAAAAGTAGACAGAGTGTCATCCTCACGGACAGAAACTATGGCTATTCACCATTTTATTTACCATTTCTCTYCAGCTCATTCCAGTCATTTGGACCAAAGTTAACTAATAAATAAACAAAAGTAGAAAAGAAATGATTGAAAGATAAATGATGGTTTTGGTGATCTCTTTCCAACAGTCCTCTTGCCAAGCTGCTGTTCCCTGCAGTGGACTCTAATCTGCTGAAGTTCCTGTATGACGACAACCAGAAGGTGGAGCCAGAGTGGTACATTCCCATCATTCCAATGGTGCTGGTGAACGGTGCTGAGGGCATCGGGACAGGCTGGGCCTGTAAGATCCCAAACTACGACCCCAGAGAGATTGTCAACAACATCAACAGACTGCTCAACCACCAGGACCCTCTGCCCATGGTAAGACCCAACGTTACTGAGCAGACCAGCTGGTGGGACACCTCACAACAAGGCCTTTTCTATAATATTTACCTCATCATGAGCGTTTAAACAACTTGTGCAGCATTAACAGTTAGTGTTTCAGCTACACTTACATTCTAATCAACACAAAAACCATCAAAGTAGTTCCCCACACACTTAATAGCCTATATGCCACMGTCATTAATGACATATTTCCGGTAAAATTCTTGCCACGCTCCTCCCTTCCACTTCCTATTTACTGCCTTTGTTTTTAGTGTTAGCTGCTAGTGTTAGTCCATGAAAAAGCCACAAAAGTTAAAGCATCTGATCTATAAAACGTGASTTCTGTTGTGTGCCGTTGTGTCCACTAACCAGCAGGTACATCAGAGTAGTTAATTTTTCCATTTTCCTCTTGATGAGGAGTAAAGGTGACAGCAYWGGATCATAGCATTACAGGGAAAACTMATCTTTAAAAGATCACGCTTGTGTTTGTAATCAGCATTTCTAACCTGAGGATATTCAAGAGRCAGCATCAGAAATGAGAAGARGGAGGTTACAAAAGYGAYATGTACATTTATCCCCTTTTACTGCCYAGACGAGAGAGGAAAGACCACCTCACAGCTAGCAGGAAGCTAACACAGCAGCCAGTACAAGTAGGTGTGTGTGCGTGTTTGTGTTATACAGAGTATGAAATGTTTTTAGGCAACTTTGTCATGAGTTTTATGCAAAAGTAAAACCTTGTTAGAGAGTATATTACAGTGTAGACTAAAGCCGAGCGACGAGAGCAGCAGAACCTCRGCSTGATAATCATTACGTTTTCAGTTCACAACGTCAGGATAAACGAATCAATTTAAAACCCAGACTCTGCTCTTTCCAACAATATAAGTGTCACAGCTCTACGTGAAAAATTCACAGAACAAGCAGCCAAGGAATAGTGAAAAAGGCTAAATTCTGGAACCACAAACACGAACGTCTTTCCTTTGTTTTTATGTCTTTAATCCACTTTGGAGTGATTTTTTCCACTTGACTGGACCTGTACYTCTCCTGTGTTAATGTTGGTACATGTAATATGCTAATTCTGTACTGTGGAGATCATTAAGAGTCGTCGTCGGGTGAAAAAATCTTTAACACTGTGTTGACCGTGAACCGGAAGTGATCGGAGTGGAATCAAGTGCTGGACCGGATGTCCGTGGCAMATAGGCWATTWAAAAAAGCAGAGGTTTTCAGTTCCAAAGAAAACATTCTTTACCTGGAAAAAACAGAAATTTTCTCCAGTTGTACCTACAGAATCCAAATAAACGTTATTTAATGGTAGAAAAGCTGTTTCACTCTTTCCACAGAAATCAGAAGGACCCTGAACAAAAATCATAATAACATCTCATCTACCATKTAGAATCATTAAGCTTGTTTTACACCAATAACAATTTATAATGAAATTGTTAAATAATTTATTGGCTCCAACAGTTAGTTATAAAACACTGCTCTGTCTACAGGGGGTCTGGACTCTGTTAGTCTGGTAAAACCAGCCCCTTGTTCTACTCTTTGCTTCATACAGAGGGTCTAGACTCTCAGCTTGTGAGAACAYTTTCATGCTGGAGGCGTGGACTCTGAAGTTTAAAATGARTGGATCTGATTTTACCRAACAGCTAACGTTTGGCCGTGACATTAGGGCTGTGTCTCAATTCAGGGGCTTGGTCCTCATGAGTGTGCATTTGTCGGCTGCATACCTCACTGCCCCGCACACGGCCGACAAACCCTCGAAATCCGAGGATGCATCCGTGTGTCCTCCCCGGTCGAGGATATCCCAGGATTCAATGCAGCAAAATAAACAGAGAAATGAAGACGATGGAGTATTTTTTTAATGAGTCGGCGTAGTTTGGAAATTCACCACAGACCGAATGATTTGTTTTTAAAAGTAAGTTTAGRAACTTACAAAATTTATGCTGCAACTAGAAGCACTTGGAGAGTGCAAACCTCCATCAAGACCAATTTACCCCAACCTGTAAGAGTTAATGCACAAAAGCAGAGATGGAAACACATTTGCTGAATAAGTTCTGACGTAGTGAACATTTAAACAGGCAGTATGCACGGGATTTCTTCTCTGTGGAGTCCATTGTGAAAAATAAATAGTCAGACTGGTCACCCAACGTTATTCATGGTCAAACTGGTGTGGGATTAAGCTCCTAAGTTTTCATCAGTCACATTTCACCATGTAAAAC